AAATACGAATCGCTTTTAGGAATACTTTATAACAAAAACCGAACATGAAAATTATAAAACAAACAGAAAAGGCTCTAACCGGTTCTTTGATTATCCAATTCGTGTATTGTTATAATGTTTTGGTTTTACTGAAAAGGAATTATTATAACTACTGCATCAGATATATTTATATCAAGAAATATGAACACTTCTTTTTTCGTTAGATTGTGTTGTACAGTAGTATAAAGGGCAAGGAAATCGTAACAGTCAAAGAAGACAAACAGGCATACAAGGGTTCTCAATAAGAATTTTTACTCCATAAATAGTGAATTCCTCTTTTGACATAAGCTTTTTCAATTATTTTACAAAACGAGTTAAATGGCGGTTATAAAAGCAGACGTTTGAAGAACTAAACCGCGTGTAGAAATCGAAACGTATACGATTTCTCGTGTAATGAACCCAATACACTTTGAACCTTTTGGTGTTCAGTAGCAGCTTTAAATTTAGTCGTTGTTAAGGCATTTTGATCTACTGTATTATCTTCAGTTAAATTAAAATGTAGGTATATAGTACTTACGTAACACAACAACGTCATTGGAAGTTGCTTTGTTAGTTGGTGCCAATATCAAACGGTTTCCTAGAGTATTTACTAGTAATTTGTTTTTAAGTATATACATCGTTTAGCAGACAGATTTTGTATTAAGTTATTTCGAAATGTGTTATACGATAAACAACAAGTTTCTTACATTTACTGGAGAATTACCAGGGATTTGTTTTCATAAGCCTTCCTTCTTTTTTCTCTGAACCAAAATTAGGAAGAGAAGCGCTGATCCTTTAATGATCTTTTTCAGTTAATTTTAAAAGGTTCACCATTTTTTCAGGCATGTCTTAAAAAATAATTGCCGTCTCAGGAACTAGGAGTATTGTTTTCATTATCGACCACGACTGCAATAGATGTAATGGTAACATATCATTTCGTCTAGGATTTTTGCATTTGTCATTTAAATGTAGAATAGTATTTCAGTTTACTCAAAGTAATGAGGCGTACATTTTAAATTCTTTTTAATGTAGCTCGAATGTATATAATGCTATTCTTTTTCATATAATGTATTTCATTTTGCAATACTATCCTATTTTAAACTTATTGTCCTCTCTTTGTTCAGTAGTCAAGTAATAATTTGTGATTTTACAATTACATTTTTTATCAAATAAATCATGTAGAAATAATAAACAATACCCTTATATGAGATGAGTCAACGTAAATTTTGACGGTTATAAGTTTTTCAGTGTCGTTCTGTCAGATTTTTACTTTATCACTTCCTTATACATGGGGCCATAGAAGATATGAACACCATCAACCTAGATTAAGGTATCTTTTTATATAGATAAAACCTAGATTATACTATAACCTGTAACAAACTGTCAATACTTATACTAATAAAAATATTTATATTTCTTTTTGATTGTTGTTGGTGCATATTTTTCTGCATTGTTCGTGATAATACATGTAGAAAGGAAAATAACAAAAATACCGAACTCCAAAGAAAATTCAAAACGGAAAGTCCCCCATCAAATGGCAAAATCAAAAGCTCAAACACATCAAAGAATGGAAAACAACTGTCATATTTTTGACACAAGCATTTCCCTATGTAGAAAATGGTGGATTAAACCGGACTTAATATCTAGCTGAACCTCTCACTTGTATGACAGTCGCATAGTAGGTCAGTGGTTATTTAAAAAAGAGGAATGAACAATACACAATTTTAAAGTTTCAAACCTTTATTTTTCTAACATTGGTTTGACTGCCTCCCTCCATCTAATACAATTTTCAATAAAATTAACAAGTTTCAACACGGGTCCTTCATCTCGATGTTCATTCGTGTACATTTAAATTCAATTAAATATTAGAAAAAATATTTTGTTTACTATGGAAAAATTAATCAAATGTATTTCAAATACAGTTAAATCATTGATACAAAAATTACAATTAGAGGTTAACAACGTTCAAGTGACATAACTCTATTGACATTTTCGCGGGTAAATGAGATAAAGGTAAATATGTACATAGCTTGTCTTAACCATGTTAGCTGATGGTTACTTGGAATATACTTGCTGTTTTAAATAATCACCTACAGATACCGCAGGTGATTCATCGTGGTCTATGTTGATCACGTAGCTTGTCGTAAGTGTTGACGTAAGTGTAACACCATAACAAACTGAATCCTAATTTGATATTCTATTTTTAGAAATTTACATGTGACGTCACTTTTTGTGGCGTTGATACATTCGTGTGACGCACAGTTCATAATTCTATCGTGGTGTACTTGTGAACTGTCGTAAATTAAAGGCAGATGTCCGTTGTTATTCTATGGTTTACATGTTGTAATATACTATTATATTATTTCTTTATGTATTAGTCTGTCCTGAGTGTTCTTGCGTTTATTTGTACTGTATTCCTGTCACGTTATGTTGTCATTTTAGAGGTATTTTTAACATTGCCATATTAGCGGGAGGTTTGGCTAGCCATTCAATCAGGTTCAACCTACCATGTTTTTCTTAAAATGTCCTGTACCAAGTCTGGAATATGGCAGTTGATATCAAATAGTCCGTTTCTATGTATGTTGGTGTTTGTTTTTGTAGCAGTTCAGTGTTTTTGTTGTTCCGTTGTTTTCCTCTTATCGTTGATGTGTTTCCCTCGATTTTGGTTTGTGACCCGGATTTGTTTCAGATAAATCAATTTATGACTATTGAATAGCGGTATACTACTGTTGACTTTATATATTTCTTGGAATATGTTTGTTTTCGATTCATTAGTTGTCGTATCTGAATGACATTGATTCTGAATCAAGTATAATACATAACTAGTAGTATCTGATAGTTTGTATGCATTATCGTGTCCTAGTACTGTGTCATGACACCTACATTTGTAACACCTTTACTTGCTTTGAACTTTTGTAGCATTTCCTTGTATACATGCTGGGATTTGATACTCATAATATACATAAACTTAAAAATCGATTTTCTTTTATTTTTTGCCACTAACACTGGATACATTTATCAGAGCCTCCCTTTATCATTCGTAAACCAATCTGTAATATTGGCATGCGTGATCGTCCAGTCACGACCAAGATAGATAAATTAGCTACATTGTATTAGGAGTTGCAACTTTTAAAACAATAATCAATGCTCTATACAACCACATTAAGTACAGATAAATATTATGATCGCTAGGCGCGTATGCTGTCTTCATAAGACTCATTCTTGATCATACTTATGATCAAAAGAAATGTCGAAACCGCGATTCTGTTACGACATTGACGAGAATTCCTACACTGTATTAAGACCAAGGGTTTGACAAATTTGAATTAACGTAATATACGAAATTAAATGTAGAATACATTTTGAAAGGGACAAAAAAAAAAGCATACTAGTATTTATTGTTTACATATATCGTTGCATGTGATAACAATCATACGATATACTTTTTTTTTATTCAACTACAGCATTGCAAACGCTGTAACAATAACTCCACTGACACAGCTATGTCAGTTAAATTCCCCGTTTCATTATTATCAGAAGTTCAGGTATCGTCAAGTAGATACACTGTATGTTGTTAGTTGTTTACAAAAGTATCAACATAAGATCAATGAAAAATAATGTCATTATTAAATGTACTGAAAGATTTTTGTTTAATTTCATAGTACATCTGGGATGGTTTTTTTATAGATATTTCAATGTGTTTTCGGTTAACGGTTGTTTTAAGATAAACATTTTAATCTAGCAAGGTATCACAACATATTCTGTAAGAGTACATGTACTTTTTTATACATGTTTAAGGAAATTTTTTTAACATCTTTTGTTGTAACAGCTGAAAACAGGAAATTTGTTTCCTTGTACTGTTGCACGTTTGTTTCAGAGTCAGATGGACTTATTTTTACTTTTTTGCGCTGTTTTATATAAACTCATAATAGATACAAGGATTGAAATTTTGTACGCCAAACGCGTGTTTCGTTTACAGAAGACTCATCAGTGACGCTTGAATAAAGTACGTGAATCAAATTAAAAAATAATAAGCTGTTTAATCAATAGAATCATTTGATCAAATAGCTGTTCAAACAAGCATTATTCGTGCAGCAATGAGTAAATTTTAATAAATCCTATGTAAACTTTACAAATAAATCGAAGCTTGTATCAATTATTTTGCTTTCTGATTCTCTTGCTTTTGTTTTCTCTTCAGAGTTGTCATTGTGGCAGCTCTGAAAAGAAAACAAAAGCAAGAGAATCAGAACACATAATAATAGGTTTAAAAACTCGAATCGATTAGTGGGCATACACGTCAACAGGATACACATCTCTTGGTATACATATACCATCCGTAAAACGATTTCAAAAGGATATTCATAAGTAAGCGATAAAGCCAGTAACAAACTAAAACCAATAATAATGTCACCTTGACATGAACGGACCTGTAAGATTTATGACATATTAAAATGTACTGAAATCCATATCAATTTTAGAGTACTTGTTTCACGCCAAGTTATGTTGGGAACTTACAGAATATTTTCACTGTTTGCAAATGTGGTTTATATGCTGATGTTAGTATTAGATATCTTCTTATCTTATTTAATAATTTTGATATTAGTTTTCTTTAATATAGTTGTATTGATAGTAGACATTACTTTAATGTTGAGAACACTATATATGTTTACACTTCTGGACTATTTGATATTAACCACGGTTTCTGATGGTGTTTGCACTGCTCAGTCGTTAGTTTTCTATGTTGTGTTTTTGTAAACTGTATGTCTTTTTGGTCGTTTTTCATTTCTTGCCAATGCATTGTCAGTCTTTTTGTACAAAATGTATTTAAGTTTTCAATAAAAAAACCGATTACAATATCATTTACACTCAATAATCGACAAAATCAACACATATTTAAACGCTAGCCAATCAGAATCAACACATAAATAAACGCTAGCCAGTCAAATGGTTTTACATATATTTGTATAAAAGGATGACACATCCTTACTAGTTGTTTCGATAGTCAGGTTGCAGTTAAATTGTTTGGAAAACAAAAATGAATATTCAAATACCTTTACTGAGTATATTCGTTTGTGGTAAGTTGAATGATAGTTCTGAATGTTATTAATTTCATATTTTATAGTGTTTTAATTCGTTACAAATGCATAGATTTATGCTCTTCAACTTTATACTTGTTTCGCTGTCTAACTATTTGGATCTGAGCGTCACTGATGAGTCTTATGTAGACGAAACTCGCGTCTGACGTATCAAATTATAAGCCTGGTACTTTTGATAACTACTTACATATACTTTACCCAAGATATTGCGTCGCAATTAGCAATAACGTAATTTGATGTTAATGGTTGAGGGTGTTTTCTTTTTTATTCGTCGGTAAAATTGCTTTATTCATTAAACATTCTTTGAAATATTTTAGTTAAGTGATAAGGTACGAAATGTAGTAGAATTCGATGATTTCCCATATAGATTCGAAAAGAAAGCAGAAGACAAAAATTTTTAAAAAGCAGTTGAGATTCAGATTCTACATTTTAAACACGATCAAATTAGAAACACTGCACATTTTTATATAAATATAATATAAATATTCTAAGAGTATATAATTGTATTCATCCATTATATCTATACTCTTTATCAGATCGAAATATAGCTATTTAAGGATAACAATTTTGTTGTTACTTTTCGACAACAAAATAAAAAAAAATTCAAAATTACGTAGGACGAATTTGAAAAAAAAGGTCTATTCTAAATTCGACCACAATTGAGAACTTTGACAACTTTCGAACCTTGATCGAACGAATAGTCACTGTCATTATACATATTTTGTAGGATGGTGTATGGTCGTGTTGTTAATTTATCTTCGTTTCTATCATTTGCATATGACATAGGAGAATAGTGTATCATGTTTTGTCCTAAATGTTAATAAGACCAAACCGTGCTTTAATTATAAAAAAACTTCTAACAAATACAAAAAGAAACATGCATTGGCTATGTATTTCAAAACATTCAAATGAGGAATATAAAAACCTTTCTGATTGAATTAAAAAAGAGATAAATAGCGTTCAAACCAACTTAGTTCGAAACGTATGAAAATCATTGAGTGGACAAACTTGAATTTTATCAAAAGTGAAAATTGGTTTGAAAATGCAAGCTACAAATGTATCAAAATTATATAATAAATTTTTAGGGTTCTAAAACATTTACAGAAAAGCCCTGAAATCGATCAAACTGATAAATAAATTCGAAACTGACAATTTACTTTAAAATAAAATTACCGCCAACATTCGACATTCGACATTCCTGCAAGACATTTACTAGTAGTAGATGCTTTTTTATTTGTGACTTGAAATTGTAAAAGGCCGGTTATGAAATGATCTATCTAGGAACTTTTGTAAGCAATATTTTCTAAAACGAAATAACATCTTACATGTATATTATTCAATACAAAGACACATTTTGATAACTTACAAATTGATGAAATCTTACCATAATGAAACCATTTGTTTGCAAAACTTAGAATTTGAATTTGTTTAACCAATAACAACAAATATGCCAAGGAAACAAACAAACATATATGTTATTTTCGAATCACTGTTTTGTTTCAATTGATTATAATTTTTATGAATATAATAAAGTCTTGTAAATATTCGCGATTTTTTTTTCATCTTTCTGAACAGCGCTGATATAAGCCTGTAAAACTTGTTAATATTTACTGCTGGTTTAAGCTTTTTGTGTTATGCACGGGCTTGTAACTATTGTAACTATTTATGAGTTTGAATACCCATTTGGTATCTTTCGACTCTCTTTTATTTAGTCGTAAAATTACAAAGATATTACCATGAATTGGGTGAACAATGATACATAGTTGGATTTAGAACGCCGGCGTATAAAAAAATACTTCCCCAATGTTATACAAAGCAGCGTAACATTAGGCGTAAGGTTTGTAAAATCTGGCACACAAAACTTTCTTTGCGTTTTGATAACAGTTCTGTCGGTTTTGTGATTTATTCATAAAAAAAACCCAAATATTTAGTTTTATAGATTTTTACATTATATTTTAAAAGAGTTGGGTTTTTTTCACGGTAAGGGATGTAATGGGATTTTTAGGGTCATGTATAGCCTACACAGTCGTTTAGGTATATTATAAATCAAATTTAACAGTTATAATATACAATTGACAAAAAGGTAAAATAGTTTATGAAAACAGAAAAAAGCATAATGCGGCACATCAAATTACTAATGCATACGGTTCTATCATTTTTGATGGTAAAAACCCAAAGTTTTGCGTTTTTCAGATGACTTCAAGCACGGGGCACATTTTTTCAGTGGCGTGTCATCTATATGCATCATTTAATTTATATGTTTTTCTTGAACAACATAATTGTGATTGTTGATTTTAAAAAAAACCTGTTAAAATGAATAAGGATTGTTGAAACATTTCAGTTATAAGAAATTCTAAAAATTCTGTTTTGTTGACCTACAACTTTTTTCGGATAGATCGTATTATTATTATTATTATTATTATTATTATTATTATTATCAAAACAAAACGCAGCATGTACAAAAACATTGAACATGTTGAATACTATACCACATGTGTTTTAAAAGGTCACATTGCAAGTATTATCTAATCACGATTGACTAACTGGTACCTTGCTTACAAAATTTCAGTGTTTTTACCAAAGAGTTATGATGGAACACTGACTTACAACTATTATGATGAGATGGCGCAATCGTACTGTGTGAGTCGCTCATCAGGCTGGGTGTTTGCTCTTCGACGAGACTGTGCGAGACGAGCAGGTACTTGCAACAAAATCTGTGCAAGTGCAAAGAGTAAAATACTGGCTTCAATCGACTACAAGGCAAAACAGTGAGTATCAACTTTGTATTAATTTTTATGTAGCTTTAAATATAATTGTATATATCAAATATTTACGCTACGTTTGATTTCACAGACATTAAACTATGTTAAAGACATACCAGGATAATTTCTTCTTTTATTTTATTGTTTTTATTTGTGTTATTCACTAGGATATTCTATCATCACTCTTTTCTACAATACAACAATTACAACGAATATTTGAATAACACAATTTGATGTCTTAAAATATGAACTTATGTGGATCTAAGTTAAAGATGACTTTTCGGAAAACCATGATACTTTATTGTCATTTTAACTAAGTTGACGCGTAGTCAGAGTCTGTCGATATATTACATTCTTTTTGTGGGTTTAACATACATTGCGTTTACTAATTAATTAACATGAATACTTAAGAAGAAAGAGAAAGGAAACATTTTGCAACGTTTCTTTTTCCAAAATTTAAATTTATTCAAATCAAATTATAATAACTACCAAAGATATGAAACAAGATAAGTTGGAACTCCTTACTTGTAAGTTTGTTTTAAAAAAATGAATAATCATCGTTGAAAAAAAAGAAGATATATTTCCCTGTCTTAACTGTAAAAATGAAAGTAACAGCAATATATTTTCATACTATTTATCAACTGGTCAGAATACGCGTAGTCCGTAGCACACCTGTAGTAATTATGATTGATGCATATGAAGAAGGTAATTCAATTTGAATATGTTTTGTCTCGTTACTTTCCTGTTTCATTAACGTTTATTCACTACTTATATTGTTAATATTTAATTTGGATGTATAATGCATGTAAAGCACTATACCCTCATAACCTTCTCGATATACAAGTAGGAGATAGTAAGCAATATACCTGATAAATACTGAAGTGCTTATACAGTAAATCGCATGGTTTGTAACGTCTAAAGGTAAAATACAGATGTTAAAAAAAGTCCCATGAAATACGTGTTTCAAAGAAAATGGGAGCGAAAATTAATGTTAATGGAATTGCAAGATCTTCAATCAAAATAAAATTGTCAGTCAATATCACATCACAAAGATTCCTTTAATAACAAATAAATAAGGCATAATTCTATATGATTTGCAAATTAGGTAATACGTTTATATGTTTTGTTGTCGAGAAGGCTTCCAGTAAGGGCTCTTGAAACTATTTATTTTTTGATAGACAATGTTGACGGAACTACTTTTTGTAACTTATGTAAACAAGATGGTGGCGATAATAACACATACCGGCTCGACGTTAAAATATTTCTTTTCACTTCGCGTTTATCATTGAATAAGATTATAAACACACGATATCTATTTGAATTTTAATAGGATATTGATTAATTTATTTTCACCATAAAAATAAATGTAACTCGTGTGCTTGAGACCGTCTGCTACTGTTGACTGTTTATTTCATAGGGGGTTAGTAGGTAGTAGGCGTCGTTTATTTCAAAACACGGTTAGTAATGGTGTAACGTCCCTTTGTAAAAACAACACGGTGTTGAGAAAAAATCTGAAAGGTTTCAACAGACGAAGAAATTGATGATGAACAATTGAAATCAATTCACAAAACACATTAAAAGCTAACAAGTTGTTATTGTTGGTATTTGTTTTGGTGTAAACCAATGGAAGTAGGTTCTCAATATTGAAGGCTTTATCACTTTGATAGGCCACTAGTCTAAATGCCACATGCTAAGATAATCGGTAGGATAAATTCGTTACACAGTGTTTTAGTGACCTAATACAATATGGGGTCAGTAAATTCCGTATGGGGATTCGAGCTGCGCTCTCACGTAGGAGTTTCCTTGGAGTTTGGTGTTTTTGTTAATTTAGTTTTTACGTCTGACATTGCTAACCTAATTATCACTAAAAGTAACACATTAAGGTATAATTTCATTACATTTTTGAATTAACCAGGTGAAAAATAGCTAGTATGCAAATTTACGTCAAACAATCACCGTGGGATCTAGACTGTATCTTATGCAATTAACTCCACACAATAAAATTTGCAAACATAATATAAATAATGAATATTTGTCAATATCAGATAAAAATTACTCTAAGGTGTTGTAAATGAAACATGGTAGTAAGAACAAATAAAAGAATAAAAAACATTAAACTTACAACGTATCAGATGCATATACTGAAATAAAGATAGAGCAAAAAACGTCTACCATAAAAAAAAGGTCAATACAGAAAAACATATTAAAAGACAAAATAAAGCTTAATACTCTTGTCGTCTAAAGATCATGCGAAATAGGTATACACCCTGAAAAAAGCAATGCGAAATGTTGCCTTAAAAGTAAATATAAACACAAGTAAAGCTTGAATGTAAAAATGTTTAAAAAAAGCACACGGTTAACTCGTTTCTCAATTTAGATAAGAAAAATGTTAATAAATGTAATAAAGCAATGCGATTAAAGTAAATTTTAAGCTGAGGTTTAAAACACTCTAGGTCTTTGCATTGTCTGTCTCAAACTGTTGTGAGATTTTTCAAAAAAAAAAAACCAGCCGCTGCCCAATAAACTTGTCTTTCACCGTGCGTCTTCGTCTGTTCTTTTGGAACGGTAAGTAGTTGTGTAGAGCCTGAACGGAGAGACACGTATATATTTACTTGTTCCCGAATGTAAGCAAGGCCGATTCAATTGAACGCACAGTATAATAAACAAATACTTTGAATTGCAGTCTGTATTATACGGGTAGCCAGTATAATTCGACAAGTATCGGCGACATATGATCATGCTTTCTTGTCTTTGTGATAACACGATCTGCTGAATTTTGCGCTTTTTGTAATCTGTTCATTGTGTAGTACATGCGGCTGTTGTTATAAGTATCGAAAGCAACAGATATTACAGATATGACATGACAACATACAACAAAATGTTATTTTTTTTAAATTTCAGAGTCCGTTGCTTCGATGGATATCATGTTATTAAATATAATAACAGGCTCCGGGACAACCCATCGAGTGCACAGCCTGATTCGAACACAGTTATCTTCAAGACCTACGGTTTCGGTAGTCGTGGATGTACCTGGAAAGCTAACCATTGTGGTCCAAACTACTGCTGTTGCAAGGCTTTCTGAAAGGTCTAAGAAAAATTCAATCTCAGTTACAGATGAAATAACCTATCCTGTATTGTGGCTTTTTATATCAAATATAATATATATTAAGGATGTTCTCTTCTCTTGTTTTGAAATTTTGTCAGATAATTGGAATCCTTTTGAATTATCTATTAAGGTGGTACCTAACACTACAGGGAGATAACTCTTTAAAAATCAGCTAAACGTTTTAATTACGTTGTATTGTTAAGAAAATATTAAGCTTCTACATGATCAAAATTAGTGTTTGTCAAACTGCTATATAGCCAATGAAATTTTTCTGATAAAGTGGTTGGTTCAAATTTTTTGAAATTTTTATATTTTTGTCAAAGGGTCAAAGTAAACATTTTGTCAAATTTTTATGAAAATTAAACGAGCCAAATTAATATTAGTCAAGGTGTTGGGTACCACCTTAAGTGCAAATAAAACTTTACCCGCTAACCCCTACTTTTATTTTCATGATTTTATCACATACACAGTTTAAAAAGCCATTTTTAAAAATTTCATTAAATCCTTCATATTGTTACATAGTTTTTGAAAGAAGAAAGTGTCAATGTTAAATGTCGGAGAACTCTAGAGAGACTCATTTTCGCAAAGACATCATTTTTTCAATGATTATATCTCAAAAAACAAGGACACGGAACTGTCATTTATTTTTCGACTTTTTCAGTTCCGCTAATTATATTCTACTAAAGTATAACAATGTTTAAAAAAACTTGTTATTATGAAACAGAGGGGCGAACTTCCTTTAATCAAGATATTGACTTTCAACCTGACACCCTCTTACAAATAAAGTATGACTAACATTAGCGTTTGAGTGAGAAATATTCAAAGTGTTTAATGTATACATCTATTTGAGTAAAAAAAAATCATCTGCTTGTATTACTTCTACAAATACGAAATGGCTTGAAAAAAGTGATGACTTCGATGGAACATCAAATCCCTACAGTAAACACAAATACACAGAGTAAATGACAACTAAAAATATAACAACTTCTTTCAGCTGGAATGTTGGTAAATACTTTAAACAAGATTTATGACACCGAGGTTAAAAAGTAAAATAACAAAAGAACATTCAAAACGGAAAGTCCCTGATCAAATGGCAAAATCAAAAGCTCAAACACATCAAACAAGTGGATAACAATCAAATGCCTTTATGATCGATGTGAAGTTTTATATTATTTTTTACAGTCAATATGTTCAGAAAAAACTACATTTTGTTAACGTATACATATTTTAAATCATTGTTGATATAAAGTTTTATGCAAACGGCACACATCACTTGAGATTACCATAGGTAGTTTTGTGCAATTTTCGGATAATTTTGGTGTCGATGGTTTTCAACTTCGTTATTATATTTTTGTTTTGCATACACTCGTTTTGACTCGATTGCCAGGTATATGTCTTATATAGTCGGAAAGTGCGTCTGTTGTAAAAAATGAAAATCATTGTTTCTGTGATGAAGTGTTTCAACCACTGGGTTCATGCATCTACTAGGGGACGTCTTCAAACCAGGAGGCAGCGCTTATGTCCGGAAACTTCATTGATATGGTCCTTTGTCGTAAATTAACTGATAAAAAATGTTCAAATTGTTCACAGCACCATGGTTCTTATACTGTCTAGCATTGATTGTCTTCGACAGATTTTAAAATGTTTGGTTTCAAGGCTCGTTAACTGTGTAATTGATTTGGTCTTTGAACTATTTTGATATTAGCGCCACTAATGAGTCATACATTGTATGTTGATTTAATTTTAGACTGAATTGTAAGCCTGTTATCTTTGGTGATTTGTTTTGAAGTGAATCTGGTGTAGATTCTAAAAACCTCCAATAATTTGTCATATTGTTAAGAGAGCATACTTCTCATGAACATTATTCAAACACTTGACTTTTTCACTTCTTAAACATTAATTTGTAAATAAATGGATTAATTTTTTTTAAACATCGGTAAATTATTCTAGCAACTGATTTATTCTTCATTCTGTATTAGTCCATCTTTGAGGCATAAACAATACACCATCTTGCTTTAGTAAGGTATAAATGATAAAACAAAGAATTTGATGTATTCACTTTTGAGAAACAATTATTCATGCACTTCACAACAAACCGCAAAGTAATGGCGCTTTAATTGTTGTTTTCCCCCTCAAATCACAGTGAGGCGTTTAAAATGAAACCAAAAAACAACCAAATAAGTTTTGTATTTTGCCCCAACTTTGTTGCTAGCATAGAAGAGACACGTTGAAATTTCAGTAATGAACATGTGTCAAAAGAAATGTACAATAACAAAAATACCGAACTCAAAGGGAAATTCAAAACGGAAAGTCCTTTATAAAATAGCAAAATCAATAGCTCAAACACGTCAAACGCATTGAAAGTGATTATAGGAACACATGTCAAAGACACTCAAAAAGATTGTGGAAACACGTTTCAAACGCACTGAATTTGATTGAAGGAACACGTATCAAACGCACTGAAATATGTGTCATACATTTTTTTTTAACGTATCACTCTGATATTGTTAAAAACATTCTGTAACTAACACCAACAAGCTGATAAAAGTAAGAAGATATGGCATGATTGCAAATGAGACAACTATCCACAAGAGTTAAAACTAAGTGCCAGTATTGTATTGTCTACAAATTTCTTTGTAGATGATTTTCAAAATACATTGTTTATTCCAGGTATCCCCTAACACAACTTTTGCTAAAAAAGAAAAAAAAGACAAACAGACAAACAAACAAACAACAGTACACAAAACACAACATAGAAAACTAAAGACTGAGCAACATGAACCCCACCAAAAACTAGGGGGTGGTCTCAGGTGCTCCGGAAGGTCATTCAGATCCTGCCCCACATATGTAAACAAAAATGGAGATAGCTATATATTTTGGATGCAAGTGCAATGTTCTACCTCCCTACGTGGTATCATGTTCATCTCGAGTGCGGGAGGTCGTGGGTTCGAACCCCAACTGGATCAAACCAAAGACTTTAGAATTGGTATTTGCTGCTTCGCCGCTAATCACGCGGTATTAAGGAGTAAGACCAAAGAATGGTCAGCTCGGAGTCAGAATGATGTGTCTGGGTAAGATGGCATGTCTTCCTGCGGACTGTTACATTTGAACAAGTATGTTAAAAATCTAGATCAGCGTGTCGGTCTAGTAAAAGCATAGGTTAATATTCATATTACATTACATTATGCATTATGTTCTCGTCTTGAATATGCATATTTATTAGCTTCTTGACGTTAAGCAATCATTCGTCATAATCATCTACCTTCCAATACAACTATAATACCAGATTTCTACACCTTACGAGATTTTGTCAGAACTGCATTGTTCTATCTCCACACTCATATTGGATTATGATGGATTATTCATCTAGTTAGGTCAGAAAAAATAATTTTATAGTGTTGGATCTCCAGTATTTCTCATGTATTATTGCTGTTCAAAAATTATCAAAATTATCCTTGTAGTACTATAATTAAATGTTTTGCATGGTTTGAACTCAATCTTTGAGCAATTCTTAGCAAATCCAGCAGTACAAAATATTTGGGATATTACAAAGTAAAAAAGTTCATGGTTCATCTCTTCATGGTTCATCTCCAATGGAAATACAGGGATACATTTCTAAAACTACATTGTTTGTAGTGAAATGTTCTTATCTCCAATAAAGGGGATGCTTTATTTATCTAAGTTATTCGTCTATTAAAAAACAATTGATCACAGAGTTACTCTTCATGTACGTACATTCGATTCCTATATAACTTTTCATGTCTCAGCCAAACATTTATGATATTGAGCTTTTAAAGTTTAATTTAAATGTTTACCACTATTCCCAAATGGGAAATAAATCATTATAAGATTCACAAGATTTTTCAAACTTCCATGTTTGGTAGCAATCATGTATACCAGGATTTAAATTTTGTACGCCAGAAGTGCGTTTCGTCCAAAAATGATTTATCAGTGACGCTCGGAATTTGACTAGTTACAAATGCTAAATAAAGTACGAAGTTGAAAATCTTCGAGGACCCAAAATTCTAAAAGGCTTTGCCAAATACAGCTAAGGTAATTTATTCCTGATTTAGAAAATCCTTAGTATTTGATATTTGTTTTTGGTTTATTGTTTGTATATAAATAAGGCTGTTTGTTTTTTTCTTTTGAATTGTTTTAAATTTAACATTATCGGGACTATTATACCTTACTTAACGGTAATATTTTTGCTCATTGTTGAGGTCGTACGGTGCCAAGAGTTTATCTACATCATTGTGTCTCAATCATACCATATGTCCTTTAATATTTTAAAATGGTATTCTGTTCTAACAGTCTCATATCTTCCTGGAATTATTTTATCATACAACAGCTAGGAAAAACATTTCTTTTTTTTTTTCTCCAAAAATTAAGACAATTCATTTTGTCAGGTTTTACGAACCTACCCCCTTTTCTAATTTACCTTGGAGTTCGGTATTTTTGTTTATACTTTTTTCAAACCTTTTATCTTGAATAAACGGAATATTATATCAGCTTAGATCGGTCAGTGCTGTTCATTGGAAATGTATTTCCACGCAGTCTTTGTAGTAATATATTAACTGTTGTTACCTTTGAAATTTGAGAAATGTACCAGTTCATATCGCACATTACTATTTTTATTAGAAGCATATCTATGAAGTTTTTGTTGTAAATACCTATATAACCTACGTCAATTATGAAATTTTAGAATTGTACTTGCGTTTTTGTGTTCGGTTTTAATTGTATAAATTTCTAGATTGTTATAGTTAAATCTGAATAGATTGATATGATTCATTTTACATCATAATCATACTGATGAAGGATATCTGTTATCCGAAATATTTAAAGATACTTAAATCCAATGGTTCCTTTTTTTAAATGTTGGTGTTGTTTTGTACACTTTTTAGGAGGTTATATAATTTATATATTGTGTACATGTATCGTTACTCGTTACGATCCAGCGCCCTCTTAAGAAGATCGTTGACTAATATCTTCTTGTGACAGAAGCACTTCTGTTTTAAAAGTTAACGTATACGGACTCACGACCATCTCCCTGTCAATTCACATAGACTTGTTTTAAAAATCCGAAGCTTTTTAGACGAATTTCCAAAAACAATTTTAGGTGTTTAAAACATTATGCCGTTAATATACACACTGCAGTGAATTATAAATATATTTACTTAAAATCAAATTAAACTGCTCTTTACGTGTCTCTGTATTTTGTACATCCAACACTCATGTATTTAGTTTTGATGTTTCTGTTATGGTTTCGGTTGGATAATGTGTTATGTTTTATCGTTTGTAGTTCAAAACATTATTTAATTGCCTTTCAATACCATCATTGTGATGAAAATTGTTCGGACGAGAATTGTGTAAATAATTGTATAAAGTTCCAGATTGCATGTTATTTACGTAAGCGCGTCACTGTTTGTGATATCATGTGGTGTCTGTCGTTAAAGGAATATGTTCGTTGTTGTTCTGCGGTTTGCATGTTGTGTCGACTATTATATTATTTGTTTG